TGCGGTTGCTTCCTCTCCTTCGCTCTAGGGCCGTTCTCCTCCTCTTCTTCACCCTGGCCAAACTCCAACAAGTCTTGATCCGTCTCTTGAAGGAATCTGCAAGCAGTTCGTTCATTCCCAAGCTCGAGCGCCTCAGACGAATGCCCACTTATAGAATTCTGGATCGGTCTCCTTGAGAGCCTCCAGCTCCCTCTTATGCGTATCAGCTTCATCATCGTCCGCCCCTAAACACTGCCTTCAACACCAATTCAATCAAGACCACAATACCCTCTTGAGTAGCCGTCTTGTCCTCCCCCTCGTTGAGAGCCCTCACGAGCTCCTCCTCGCCTTCCATACCATCAGGCACACAGAACACTGCCTCGTCATCGGAGCCTACACCACCAAGAACACCCCTTCGCTCCGCCCTTCACTGCACTTCCAGTTGCCTACCTATCTCGGCCAACTGAGCATCTAGCTCTGCGTCCATGTCCTCCTCAGGTCCCCCTAACTCTGCCTCGGTGAGCTTAGCTGAATAGGGACCACCATAGGGCAAGGGAGTCACTAGCCACCCCTATAACCTTTCCGTTTGCTCTCCTTGATCTCATCTCTACGTTTAATCTTATCGGTGAGCTTCGCTTTCTGTTTCGCCTTAGCCGACACCTTTGATTTTGCCTTATTGAACTTCTTGGAAGCCTTCTTAGATACCATAACAACGAAGGGTGAACAACTACGAGCAGCAGCGAGGCTCCCACACGGGCAATTTCATGGTAGTCCCCAAGGCCCACCTCGACAAACGTTGCCACGAGTAGGTTGTTAATGCTGTACTATTAGAACGAGAGTTAGGCTACTCCCAGAAGTTGATTCCATTCAAATTTTTCTCTAGAACTAGTCCCAGTTGCGAACAGTAATTGCGCAAAACTCTATCATCAGCACTGATGAGGATGATGGAGTTAGCAGCTAGCGATGGAGTACTGATGATTCATCAGTTCTCCACCGCTCTGCCTGAATGCTCCAGTGATGGACTGAGATGCTCAATACGAGAGGTTGAGCGTTGGAACAGACGAGGATGCGTTTCGGACTACAACGACATCGTGAAATTGAAGATCGCCAGTAATAAAATCGGTTGTGACACTGTGTCCCGTTAAAACACGCAAGTTGCTTCATTCTTGAGCTGATTTCTCTCAAATAGTTGCCCTATCGATAACATGCTTTGACTAACGATCTGCAGGCCCTTCTCTGCAAAAAGGCTCATAGAGCAGAAAACGCCGGCCCCATTGCGCGCACGCCGGGCGTGGTGATGGTGGTGACGCCATCTCAATCCAGGAGTGCACCGCTCTGTTGTCAATCATGCCTTCAAAGCTGAGGTCACTCGAACGAGCTCGTACCCGCACCCAAGAGATCTACACTAAGGTTGAGGGAATCACATGCAAAATGCGGAAACACGTCGATGTTAGTCGCGAACAGCGGAGAAAGGATGCCTGGATG